CAGAAACTGTTCTTTCTAGAATGAATGGATACAATGTTTCAATAAAAATGAGTATCAAACTTCTAAAAGTTATGGCACAGGGATCACACAGAGACATCAGCTTCTCTGGCTCTCACACGCCCATGGCTTCACATGCCGCCTTCCTGTTCCTCCTGGGAAAACAGTCTCTGATGAACTGGCTGTTGGCGTTCATCACAGTGACGCCCACCTGTGGTCTCCCATGGCTCTCACCTGGTAGACAGCTGTGGGATGCTGCTGTCACTGAATGGCCTTCTTTTATAATTCTTGATTTCTCCCTCTCATTGTTGCTTGGTTTTTCCATTGCTGACTACAGAGTAGGGCATCAGCCAAGTGCCTCAGCTCCTGCTGTGGGTCGGGGGCCTGCCTCTGTATTTCTGGAAAAGCTACAGACCATGTCTGCCCAGCCCTGTAAGTGCCTGGTGTGTGAATGTGCTGTCCGTGCAGGTCTGCAGGTTCCTCTCCTTCATCCCTAGGGCTCTGTCCTCCAGTCGTGCAGGCCAGGGGCAGGTGATGCAGCTCCCTCCTTCTAATCTCCATGCCTGAGATTACGTGGTCTCAGCTGTGCCTCTTCCACACCACACCTGTTCCTTTTGGGGACAATTAGTGGGACATCCCTCACCCCTCTCCCTCCACTGTGCTGTTGCATCCTGTACGTGTTGTCTCACATGCAGACCGAGCTGAGAAGGTCACTGTGTGAAAGTCCTTATTGCCTCCTGGCTTCCCAGGCCCTTGTGGCCCTGCTCACAAGCCTCACTCTACACATTAGCCCAGCTGCCTCCATTGGCAGTGACCAGAGCCACATCCGCAGGGTGTCCCTTGCCTACGTCCTCCTGACTCAGACTCAGAGGCTTCCAAGGCTGTTGTGGGTTTAGTTTCTGATCTATAGAAATCTCCCTGCCTGTCTCCAGTCCCCTCTGGGGGCCCTGGAGGCCCTCCTCACAGGGGCCTTCTTGTCGGACTTCTACTTCCCAGGCAGCTCCTGCAGCGTTGTGTCCCAGCACAGAGAAGGCTGAGATGGGGCACAGCAAGAGGAAAGGCTAGAGGCCCTGGAGGCTGCAGGGAGAGGAATGGAGTGGGGAAAGGAGGGGGCAGAGGAAAGGCTGGAGGCCCTGGAGGCCGCAGGGAGAGGAATGGAGTGGGGAAAGGAGGGGGCGGAGGAAAGGCTGGAGGCCCTGGAGGCCGCAGGGAGAGGAATGGAGTGGGGAAAGGAGGGGGCGGAGGAAGGGCTGGAGGCCCTGGAGGCAGCAGGGATGAGGGCTTCACCATCCGTTTGTCTTGATTATCGCAGAGATGACCAATCCCTGCCTTGCTCAGCCTTCCTTCTCCCCCAAATTCACAATCCAACGCCCTTTTTCCCAGCTCCTCTAATAGAGAAAATAACTACACTGACCACAATCCAGAACCCATATCACTAGGATATGAAGACAAATGGGGAACAGGAAAGGGTGTGTGACCCGCTTCTGCAGCTGCACACAGGTCTGAGGTGCTGCAACCAGAGAGTGGGAAAGAAACTTAAACTCAGGCATTGTTACTCCAAAGACAAAATCACAGCCAGGTATATGAAATCGTATTAAATAAGAATGCTCAGCTCCCTCAGAGCTGCTGAAGGCGGCGCCAGCTTTAATTATTGGGTAATAGTTTCCATTTATAACCCTGCTCACTATGTCCTTTCCAATCTAGGCCTATGTCTCTCTCCATCCTCCTGCGCATTTTGTCTTCTGTGCTGCATTTGGTGCCATCCACCGTGTCCCTCAAGGGGAAAGCTGGCCAGGCACAGCCAGCAGAGGGTGGCTCGCAGGGTCTGCTCTCTTCCTGTCACCAGCAGCCAGCTAACTTGGAGCAATGCTTTTTCCTGCAGTGAGTCTCAGCCTCCTCTGCTGTAAACTAGTGAAGTTGAATTCCATGCTCTGCAGGGCTTTCAAGCAGTGAAACTCTGATGCTGTTAGTGTGGGCAGAAGAAAAATCTCTAGCTGTCACCTTGGGCTTGAATGATGAGGAGTCACTGGCCCCCTTTGGTGCTCGAGTCAGAGGGGTGGTTAGAAACAGAGAGGATGTGGAGATGCTGGGGTGGAGGCCTTGGGACTCCCAGTTCTGCCCCCTGTGCTGCCACCGTGGTACCCCCGGCCGTCCATCTAGACCTTAAGGTTATCATGGGACCATTTCAAAGGCAAGGGTCTGGTGTTGGTTCAGGAGTGGACAGCAGTGGAAGACGAGGATCAGAGGAAACTTGTGTGTCTGAGGGCACAGAAGAGGCACCCCTCATGGGACACTGACATGGCACCATGCTCATGGTAAAGTAGAGGTTGCTGTGAGCTCTGATGCTGCAGCACTGTGCTGAGGGAGACATAGGGAGACTCTGTCTCAAAAAAAAAAGAATGTCCTCTCTGGATCATAACTGCAGTTGTGTTTGATAAAACAACATGGGTCTCCCAGCACAGGTATTGCAATAACTGACCACATGCAGGTCTCACCAGCACTACGAGGGGTGCACCTCGTCCCCATCCTGATCTCTCCAAAGCAGGGAACAGCCAACAGCAGGGGCAGGCCAGGGTGTGAGACTCGGCAGTCAGACCTGCAGTGGCCACCAACCACCAGGCCACACCGTCACCACCTTGCAGGGAGCACAGACCAAGACTGGTGCCAAAGACAGAGTGGCCTCCAGAGGGCCTGGATGTCTGGGTGTGACCATTAAAATGGGGAGGTGACAGAGGAAAGTGTGGGAGACTCTTGTTGGGACCCAGGAATGAGGAAGGACTTCATTTCTTTTAATTATGGTAAAATATCATAAATAACATGATATTTATTATTTTAACCATTTGTAAATGTGCAATTCGGCAACATAAATACATTCACAAGGTTGTCATCCCTGATGTTAGATCCGCAACCTTTTCATCATCCCAGACAGGAACTCAGAGCCTTTAAACCCTAACGACCCCCACACAACCCCCTGCTGCCACCGCTGCACTGTGGGATTTGCCTGTTCCAAGTGGAATAGCACAATTGCTATCATTTCACTTCGTGTGGCTTCCTCAGAGTTCATCCATGTTGTATTGTGTGTCAGACTTTCACTTTTTCTGAGGCTGAATATTCCCTTATGTGTAAACCAGTTTGCTTTTCTGTCCGTCCCTTGGTGACAGGTGGGGCTCCCCCCGCCGGGGCTGCCGTGAATGTGACACACGGATCTGCTTTGGTGTCTGCGTTCAGTTCTTTAGACTTATATCCTAGAAGCAGAATGTCTGGATGAAATGCCAATTGTCTGTTTAACTTTTTGAGGAACTGCCAAACTATTTTGTACAATGTTATGTTCCTACCAGCAGGGCGCTAGGGTTCCAGTTTCTCCACATCCTCACCAACACTGGTTATTTTCTGTGTTATTGTTACCATTATGAGTACTTTAGAAGAACATATCACAAGTTCAAAGTACAGCTGAATTTAGATACCTAGCCCGTAACGTGACACTGACCCTACTTGTCACAGTAGGAATTCTGGAGATGTTTTGTGCCGTCACTCACAAGGGGCTGTGGCAGTCACATGGATCCTGCCCTGAGTGCACCGATTTGCTTATTTATGGGATCCTCAGTTCTTATCCTCAAGTGGCGATCTTTTTCTCTTTGTTCATATATTTTTGCCACAAAACTAATTATATCTCTATTCCCAGGCAGCTAAACTTGGGACAATGTGAACATCAAAAACAATAATGTAATTGGTTATAACATATTACATGAAAAAAATCCCTAGTCTATAGTCATCCTCATGGAGAGAGAAGGAATCTTCCTCTTGATCTCCAGTCCCATCAGAAATGTGGAAATTAGCTGAGCTCAGTGGCTCACACCTATAATCCCAGCTGCTTAGGAGGCAGAGGCAGGAGGATCACTTCAGGCTGAGAGTTGAGGACCAGCCTGAGTAACATACCAAGACCTCACGTCTATACAAATAAAAATAAATATCCAGGCATGTTGGTCTGCACCTGTAGTCCCAGCTACTTGAGAGGCAGGAAGATTATTTGAGCCCTAGAGTTCAAGGCTGCAATGGGCTATAATTAGGCCACTGCACTGCAGCCTGGGCAGTAGAGTGAGACTCTCTCATAAAAAAAAAAAAAAAGGTGAAAATTGCTGTATTGTAACCCTGAATGCTTCATGCAAGGGCCACCCGTGGGCTGACACCACTGGACGAAGACTGGAAAGGGACTCACAGGCCGCTCATGCCAACATATTAGCCCCTGGGTTCCTTTTCACTTACAAAGGGACCTGCCGATCTTTAGAGCAGAGAAAGAATGACTTTTCCCCCTTACCCAGGCATCATAGAGAGGCTAGCACAGGTACAGGCAGCACCTGGTCACCAAGTGCTTAGCCTTGAATTTATAAAGCCTCCAGGCCTGACCTCAGCTTACAAGAAATATGAGAGTCAGAGAAACCAGGTGAGCAACCATCAGACAGACCCAGAATGTGGAACATTCTACGTGAAGACTGGCCTGGACTTAGCAAAAGGCCCACACAACAGTGCAGGGAGAAGAGGGTTGTGGAACTGTTCTTTTCCAGAAGCAAAACACAGAAATTTAATAACCACTATAAGAGAGACCCAAGACTGGATCCTAGGCTGGAAAAACCATAGGGGTGAATGACATGGGGGTTGCGTGTGAGATGACGTCATGGAATGGGTGTCAGCGTTCTCAGCTGTGGCAGTGGGGTCAATGTTATTTGAGAACGTGTCCTTAGGCTTAGGTGACACCTGCGAAGACTCCTAAGGGTAAAGTGTCATGGCATCCACCATTTATCTTTAATTTTTTTGGAGAGAGAGAGAGAAAGCAAATGTACATAATTCCTAAATCCAGGATCTTTATAATGCTTTTTGAAGTTTTGTGTATGTTTGAAATTTTTGTAATAAAAAGTTAGAGGGATCATTACATCTACTATTTTATATTCAGTGTTCTTCTGAGTGCCTGATCCTGCCTCCAAAGCCTTTGTCTTTTTGCTTTGCAGTCCGGGACCGAGTCCGATCAAAGATGGAGAGAGACATCTTGGCAGAAGTGAATCACCCTTTCATTGTAAAGCTTCATTATGGTAAATGGAATTTAAAATGACACTTTTGAGAGGACCTTGGGCAACATTCTCAAGAGCAAAGGATTTTTTTTTTTTAAATAACAGATCTGAAGGAAGAAATTCCTCCCTGTTTCATACAGACGCTGTCCTGTCCGGGGATGGTAAGGTATCTGTCTACCCTACCTCCCGGTCCTTGATCTCTTTTGTATTTATATTCTGTAAACCAGCAGCACACCCAGTTTTTATCTCAAAGACCTACACTTAACGAGCTGATCCTTTATTATTAAATTCTTATCATGGGTGATGTAGTAAAAAGGTTTCTTGCTCCAGATTGGGGTGAACCTGTGACATACTTCTGGTTATTTCAGAATAAAATGCTTGATAACACATATGTCTTACGTATACTGTGTTTCAAGCATGTTCAATGTCCTGGCTCATTGAACCCTTAAACTTCCATTGTTGTTTCCATTGATGAGGCTCAGATCAAATAATTTATCAGCAGGCCACACTTCTGCTTCCCACACAACTTCTCGTAGTTTGCTCTCTGCCTTTTTAGCCCCATAGAGGAGCAATAAGTAAAATCTTCAGATTAAAACCATTGTTGTGAGATTTGACTAAACCTGATGGGAGGGCAGGAAGGATAGGCTGGGGGAGCCTTCTAGCTCTTTCCTTGTTAATTTCTGATACTACTAAGAAAATAGTCTGTTTTGGAAATTAGGTGGCCTCTTCTTTCCAAAGTAGTAAGAGCTAACATGGAGTGTGCACCTGCAGAAGCCAGGTGTCCAGGCCACCCAGTCCAGGCGAGGCCCACTGTGTTGCAAGCTCCCCCACCACAGTGCGGGCGGGAGGCGACCTCCCTGCCACACTGCCATGCGCACTGCTGCTGACCTGCTGGTGCTGTTTAAGTCAGTTTCCACCATGTTTTCTGAAGCAATGAAGAACTGAGTGTCCTACAAAGAGTTTCATGCTAACCCTCTGCATTCCTTCCGGGGCTGACACAAGGTCTCCCACTGCCCATGAGGGCCTTGGGTGGAGCATCTAATCCACACTCAGCCTGCACAGTGCTGAGTGGGGGGCCTTCTAGCTAGAGGCGATGCGTGTCTAACCCCCAGCATCTCTAATGGTCCTAGCATTTACTTTTAGAAAATAGAACGGTTTTGAGGATTCAGGGATATCAGGACCCCTTCCAGCCATACTTTCTGCATCTATAAAATAGATTCCAGGTGATGGGTCAGCAATGACATTGAGCTGGCCATCCTAACAATAGTGCCAATGGTTGGTTTCTCTTGATCCTCATATGCTGGTTTGTCCTCCTCAACTGGGGTGCACCCTGGCTCTGTTGGAGACAAGAGCTGAGTGATGATGGCCTGTGGCCTGACACATAAAGAGCAAACCCAGTGTCCTCCACAGTGACCAGACCATGGACATGAGCCCCGTAGTTGTGACATATAGTAGCCAGCTGGCCAGTCACCACCACTGCCACAGAAATCAAATGGTAGGCTCCCTTGCACCCCGAGTTGTAAGAATGCAGTTCTGTAGGAAAAACAGGAGACAGTGCTCAGTGGCCAGCAGAGCTGTGGTCACTGAATGTGGGACAGCAAACTGGACTTTCTAAATAAGGCTCCATGGTATGCCAAGGCCAGTGTCAACAATGAGAACAAGTTTGAACATATAAATACTTTTCTCCCTGTGTGTCTTTTACTTCCTTGTGATTAAAAGGGAAAGCAGGGAAGAAAGAAAAGAAACAGATCTGAAGACTGGTAACAGCAGTGAGAGAGACCCCACTCCCCGGGGTCTCCGACATGACAGCTTCTCAGATTCACCAGGGTTATTTGAGCCACAGAGAACTGGGCTGTTGGGACTCTGAAGAGACCTGTGGGTGTGAACAAGGTTCCCCCCGCTGCTGAACCGTGACCTGTGTCTCCTCCACAGCCTTTCAGACGGAAGGAAAGCTCTACCTGATCCTGGACTTCCTGAGGGGAGGGGACCTCTTCACCAGACTCTCCAAGGAGGTAACACCCCCCAGTCCCCCGCAGAGGGGGTGTCTGTTTGGAAGCCAACAGGAAGAGAAATGGGAGAGGGCTGAGGGGAGACCAATGTGTGGCGTAGACATTTTAGAAAGGAAAGAAAATGAATTAAAATTGTGATACTCAAGTCACATTTGACTTCTGCAGTTACAAGAGACACAAGATAGCAAACACTATCAGTCTGTATTGACTACTACGATTTCAATACAGTTTTTGGCATTCTCTGCATTAACTAATTTAGAAAGGAAACACCCAACCAAGAAGGGCACTGGGTGACCATGGCAGAGGACAGGGACTTGGAGGGAGAAGTGAAGTTGGTGACACCTGTCATCACCATCTGGGGCTGTGGGCCCTGTGCGTCCCAGCCTCCGTGGGAGAACCCCTTTTGCGAGGTGGCTGTCGCACCTGTGGGAGGCTGACGTCATTCACTGTCCCCTCGCCCTTATCCCCACCTTGCTTCCCAGGCAGCCTTCTGACCACAGGTTCATCTGCCGCATATGTGCTTCTGAGAATTCGGTAGAAATGGATTTCTGGTGGTGGATGTAAAACATGGTTTCTGTTAACAATTTGGTTCCCGCTAAGGTGACTGCAGAAAACTGTGTGCTGAGGGGCGTGTAGAGAGTCTCTGTGAGACGGTCAGTGGCTGTGAGGGGCACAGAGAGTCTCTGTGAGACGGTCGGTGGCTGTGAGGGGCGCGCGGGGAGTCTCTGTGAGACGGTCGGTGGCTGTGAGGGGCGCGTGGAGAGTCTCTGTGAGACGGTCAGTGGCTCTGAGGTCTGTTGGGCACCATGGCCTCAGGCACACTCTAGCTGGAGCAAATGAACGTGCCTCCATCTCATGGACATTTAGGGGTTCCCAGCTTGGTCACCCCCGAGCCCTGGCTGTCCCATCCACATGGGAGCCAGCACGGGTCACCCACCCTAACACCCCCATGAGCCCTCCGCCAGCAGCCCGCAGCTGGGTGGAGCACCCACCCCTGACTCTGACCACCCTTGTGTGGTGTTTTCTAGAACTAATCCTCCCGTGGGCCCACCGCAGGGTCCCTATGCTAGTTTGCATAAAGTTTAGGTGAAGATATAAAATTGAAGAGAGAAAGGATGAGATTCAGGACCTGTTTCCAGTAACTCCTCATCGAGCCTTCCTAGTATCTTAGTTCTTTGTCCTAAAATGTCATGAGTTCACATCAGATGTGCCCGTATTCAACTACAAATTACAATGCCAGTCAGGTGACTTGGATGAGAAACGCCAGAGAGAGCAAGCTACGCGGTGCTCTGGCTCAGGGGCCCCTGAGTCCTCTTTGCAGTGAGGCTCTGTCTGCCTCCGCGGGTCTCAGCACCACAGAGGGGCCCATTTTTCCGTTATAGGAGCCGGAGAAGCTCTGCAGGAAGCCCCTGGCTTCTGCAGGTGCAGGTGTGTGAGTGCGCGTTGACTCCGTCCATGTCTGGGTCTCCCTGGAGGGTTCTTCAAAATACTTGGGCTACGACAGAGCTCACGGCTTGTTCTTCCCTCCACACAGGTGATGTTCACGGAGGAGGACGTCAAGTTCTACCTGGCCGAGCTGGCCCTGGCGCTGGACCATCTCCACGGGCTGGGGATCATCTATAGGGACCTGAAACCCGAGAAGTGAGTGAGCAGCCAGAGGCAGCAGCCCCGGCCCATGGCCTTGTGCTCTTTGTGGGCCCACCTTGGCAGCCCCTGCCCAGCAAGGGGCCAGGGCGGGTCTCATGCAGCATGTGCTGCAGAGGAACCCAAGTAGAGTGGCTCACGCCTCTTCCCGACCCGCACAGGTGCCGAGGCCGGTGTGGCTTTTGCCTATTTGCACAGACGTTCCTAGGCCAGTTATTAGCTGATCCTTAGCTGCCTGTGTAGCCAGGCTGGAGGATCCCAGTGCCTGCTTCCCACCTGCACAGAGCCAAGGAAAAGACAGACTTGCCCAGGGCCACTTTACTGGATGTGGCTGTCATTTATGGGGACCTCTAGGTTTGCCCAGACACCAGGTCACATTGTATTCACGTGGGATATAAAGTGTGTCACACATGCAGGTGACTCCAGGCTCTGACTCAGCTACTGGTCAGTGGAGTGTCACCGGCAGCACATGTGAGCACACTCGCACACATGGCTTGAGTGTCTGAAAATTGGAAATGTGAAATGCTCCAAAATCTAACACTTTTTGAACCCTGACGTGACACCATTAGTGGGAAATTCAACTCAAAAGTGCTTAAATGCAAACTTTGCTTAATGCACAAAATTATTAAAAATAGTTGCATAAAACTACCTTCAGGCTATGTGTATAAGGTATATGTGAAACATACATGAATTTTGTGTTCACACTTATGTCCCAAGATATTTCTCTCTCCATATGTGTGTGTGTATTATATATATATACCAAAATCTGAAATAGCTGAAACTCTTCTGGTCCCAAACATTTTGGGTAAGGGATACTCAGCCTATAATCATAAAAGGCTTTATCCTGAGAGGCTCCCAGAGAAAGCAGCATCTTATTAGCTGCAGCAGTCTCTTTCAGAGGCCAGGGGCATGAGGCTAGATTTCAAGCTCAAAGCACATTGGGGTGACCAGCCCAGGGGTGCTCTGAGCACTGGGTATCCCCTTTCATGTCTCCAATCTGGAGGTGATTATGGGAACCTGGTCTGTTCCTGGGTGCTTGCGAAGGTCATCTCAGAAGTTAGTCTCATGTCAGTTACCTCTACCTCAGCGAGCTCCTGCTGTGAGCGCCTGTGCTCAAGGTGCCTGGGATTCCAGCAGACATTGCTCGCTGGTTCCTGCGTGTTCATAGCTCACTCTGAGCATCCGTGAGGGGAGTGAGCAATGGTTCTCTCTTTAAAGGCCAAAGTGATCCTTACAGCTAAAAATAGTGACATTTAATGGGCGGGTTGAAGAACAAGATTTGTTGTCCAATTAGAATTACTGGGGAATAAATCTTGAAAGTTGCTTAATTCTGGGCAAAGATCAGCATAAGACAGGCAAAGATTAAACCCATTTGCCTCTTTAATTATAAATTGTCTTATTATATTCTATAAACTATTTTTTAACATTTTCATAAAACAGTAGGTTTTATTTTTAATCCATGGCAGATTTTTTAAAATTGTGAAATACACAGAACCTAAAATCTACCTTTTAGCCAGCCCCTCCCAAGTGCACCTCCATTCTCTGTGACGGAACACATTGCATCCCTGGTGGGACAGTGGGAACATCAATGGTGTAGGGAGCAGGATGGGCCTGGTGGTCCACAGGGGGTGTCCAGCCAGGTCCAGGACTTTCCATGAGAGGAATCTGCTGAGCCCCAAGAGCTCATTGAGGCTGAGGCCCAAGCTTGTGTCCAGGCTTGTGAGGCAGGGACTGGTCTTACGAGCTGGGCAGGTAAAGGATCTGAGAAGAGTAAGAGGGTCCGTGGATAAAGTGTCCTGGTTATGGAAACTTCCTTCCGAGAGGCTCTGAGTCTCCACAGCTCATGCAGAACAGTCTTAAGGGTTCCCAAACCTTGGGGACCCAAGAAGGTCTGAAAGTCTCGGCCCCTGGACATGAGAACATGTCCCTTCCCTGTCAAACATGGGGATTGGAACACTCTCCTGGCCCGGGAGAGGCTGTGAGGTGGGCACAGTGACTAAAGGCCTTCATTACCAACAGCAGGTGCCCTCTGAGCTCACGGCAGCTGTCAGCATGCTGGTCTCTTTCTAAAGCATCTCTTCTCTCCCTTTCTTCCAGCATCCTCCTGGATGAAGAGGGACATATTAAGATCACAGGTCTGTAAAGGACGGCAACCTCCCCGGGGACATCCTCTCAGCCTGGGTCCCCCTCAAAGCCAAAGCCCTCCTATCGTACCCCCATTGCCAGATGCCTGACTCTGATCAGTGCCTTTTCCATCTGTGTCCTTGGGACGTCTAGAACTGCTCACTCGGCCCTGGGGAGGGGGGAGGTCCTTTCCTGAGCTCCTGCACCATCACTGGATGTTTGCTTCAAGACTGAGATGTCCTACACTGACCAAGGGGCAGATACCCGGAGTCTTGCTCAAATATGAGCACGTCCTGTGCTGTGGTCCCAGTCACTGAATCTCCTGAATGGTGTTGGTGACTGCCTGACCGGTCCCCTGCCTACAGCTGAAAACCCGGCAGCCACCAGCAAATTCAGTCAAATGGAAAACACTCCCTCTGGTCACACAACACCCCACTTGTAATAGTGCCCTGTTGCATCATCCATAACCAAATGCCAGACACTTACTGGCTTAGAGCAACATAATTTATCATTTTATAGGTCTGGAGGCCACAAACCCAGAATAAATCTCACGGGGCTAAAGCTACAGTATGACCAGGGCTGTGTCACCTTCTGGGGCCTCCGGGGAGGACCCTTTCCTGGCTTTTCCAGCTTTTAGAAATAGCCACATGCCTGAGCTAGGGCCCCTTCCCATGTCGTGGGGGCTGGCAGGCGGTGTCTTCCAACCCCACACTCCACCAGCTCCCTCCTCTCTCCTCCACAGAAACACCTGTGATGAGGTCTGACCCATGGGAAATCCAGCAGAATCCCCCCTCAGTTGCATCGGAAGTCCCTTTTGCTATGTGACCCAGTCACATCTCTGGGCACAGCTGTTCCACCCACTAGCCAGGCCCACCCTGCTCCACACTCAGCACACAGCACCGGGGCCACCTGTGTCTCAGGCTTGTGCTCTTCCCAGCACTGGGGCCACTTCCCTAAGAAACCCTTCCTCTCTCTGGGCACCTGGTAAACACCCCAGGCCCCTCTGCCACCACCCTTCCGGCCCTGGCTTTCCCCCCCGCAGGTTTTTCTGGCTCTGTTGGCTGCCTCACACCTTCCTATAGCCTTCAGTCCACACTTCTGTCTGGTTGCAGGAGCCGGGATAGTTGCCCAGAGACACAATGTCTTGATGTGGTTGCATGGCACTCCTGAATTGGCAGGTTCCTGAGAGACCTCACGGAGCCCGCCTCGCCAGGCTTGCCCTGAGGGGCTCTGCTGGGACCTGTGTGGGGATGTCCTGATCCCCAGCAGAGCTGAGGAAGTGCTTCTGCTTTGTTTGCACTTAGATTTCGGCCTGAGTAAGGAGGCCATTGACCACGACAAGAGGGCCTATTCCTTCTGCGGGACCATCGAGTACATGGCACCCGAGGTGGTGAACCGGCGGGGGCACACTCAGAGCGCTGACTGGTGGTCCTTCGGCGTGCTCATGGTGAGGCATTCCCGGGGTGTCGGTGCAGTGGCAGCTGTGCCCCATGGGGTCTTCCCACGCCCTGGTCAGCTACCAGACCCTGGGATAAGAGGAAGAAGCCTGCAATCCTACCCCCTAAGTGTGATGCAGGAAGGGGGCTGGGACCCCAGGCCCTAGTTCCCTGTCCCCACCCCAGATTCTACCAGGGGAAAGTACATGTAGATTAACAGGCAAACCCTCTGTGTCCTGTACCTCCTGTGGGTTTAGTGTCTGAGCTTTAAGCGATATAGTGATTGCATTTTTTTTTTGAGACAGAGTCTCACTATGTTGCCCTCAATAGATTGCCATGGTGTCACAGCACACAGCAACCTCAAACTCTTGGGCTTAAGTGATTCCCTTGCCTCAGCCTCCCAAGTAGCTGGGACTAAAGGCATCTGCCACAAGGCCTGGCTATTTTGTTGTTATTGTAGTTGTCATTATTGTTTAGCAGGCCAGCACTGGGTACAAACCTGCCAGCCCTGTTATATGGGACTGGCACCCTAGCCACTGAGCTACTAACACTGAGCCTTAAAAATACTTGTTTTTAATTTCAAACACAAATCCTTGCACTTAGTTATAAAAATTAGCATGGACCAAAATATACATGGAGTTGAATATTTTTACATCTAAGTCTGGGCCCCTGAAATGTCTTTATATCACGTTGGCACAGACACTAGGTGGGGTGTCCTGTGGTCACAGTAGAGATGGAGCTGGTCCCGTTTCCCAGCCCAGGTGACCCTCCCTCCAGGCAGGGTGCCAGCAGCTGTGTGGGCTGGTCTTCTGACGCTCTGGGTCTGCATGAAGGGCATTTCAGGGCTACTGCAACCCACGCCCCTCACAGAGGAGGGCCCTGACTGAGAGCACTGCAGTGAATGAGACAGAGGCTGCTTAGTTAGCTCTGGGCATTGCTGTGGGCACCTGGACTCGTCCCACAGAGCTCAGGCCTCCCCTGTGACCATACCACACACCCTAGCCCTTGCAGAGAGCCCCAGGGTGGAGTCCTGCGGTCCTTGGTTGATATGTAGGCCTCACTGGGGCATTTATCCCTCTGGTCATTGTACCAGCTGAGACATTCTGGTCCTTGGCCCAGGGGCTGGAAACAGTGGTGAGTCTGCGTGCCAGCACACACTGCTGGCCTCTTCGGGGCAGACAGAGGTCATGGCTGCTCAGAGACAGGTCACACCCTAAAGTGAACGCTGGTCCCCAATCAGCGATGCCCCTCCCGTTAGCAGGTGCTCCTGCCAATCTCAGCGTCAGTGCCCTTCCCAGCACCACCTGCTGGGGAAGCCCCACCCTAATAAAGTCACATGCAAAGTCCTTCAGTTAAGTTAAGATACACTGTGTGCTTGAAAGGATGTCTGTACAGGAACACAGAGTGCACAGACGGCAGCTAAGATGCTGATTATTTATTTGTCGTGTTTATGATGGCCCTTAATGGTGGCAGCTAAAAGCAGTTCGTCCATTCCATGCTGATGACCACCCAGCTGGGCCCCAACAGCTGTCTCTGAGACCTGCCCTGTGTCCCCCTTCTGGCTGATAGGCTCTTCCTTAGTGAGGCCCCGACAGCCGTCTCTGAGACCTGCCCTGTGCCCACTTTCTGGCTGATAGGCTCTTCCTTAGTGAGGCATTTGGTTTGGCCACATCCTCTTCTGGTGACTTCAGCTTATCTGGCTCTGCTCCCTTCCAGATCCTGTGACTGCCGTGACCCTGAGGGGTGTTTAGCCGGGGAAACCACACTTCACTGAGCCTCCACCCCACCCCACCCCACACAGGTGTAGCTGCCCCTGTGATGCTGGGCTGTGGTCCAGGGGAGCAGTCTGCAGCACTAGGACAGATTGCAGTCCCTACACACGCCCTCCTGAGAGCCAGACTCCCTGTAGAGCAGGGCTAGCTGTGCTGCAATCCGGCTCCCTGCAGGGACGCCAGGCTTCCTCCCACCTCTGGGGCCAGTGCCACCCCTGGGTGATCTCCAGCCCTTTAAGAAGATGCAGGAGCCAGTGGCTCCAGGTCCTGAGTGCTCCATGTGCAGTTGCAGACAAGCCTTTGAGAACAAAGTTGTGAGAAGCTGCCACTCCACTGTCAGCATGGTGACAAAGAGGAGAGGCCAGCCTGGGTGGGAGTGGAGAGAAAGCCACAGACACGTCAGACCCTACTTGACTTCGTCTCCTGAGGTTCAGGAGAACAAGGGGTGGGTGTTTGATATGCTTCCTTTTCTTGTGTTAAGACAACAGACCGTAACATCTATTCCATAATATAAGACATATCTTTAAAATTGTTCTGGTCCAAGTCATTGAAAATTAAAGAAATAAAAGGAGAAACTGAAAAGGGAAAAAAAGGAGAATCGCAAAGATGAGTAAAAGGAAAGATTCAAAGATGGCCAGCAGGAGAACAGGAATGGAGGAAGCTTCCTGTCCCCAGCTAGTCCCCCACCCAGTCGCTCAGGTCCCCTGTCCTCAGCCAGTCCCCCACCCAGTCACTGAGGTCCCCGTCCCCAGCTAGTCCCCCACCCGTCGCTTAGGTCCCCTGTCTTCAACTAGTCCCCCACCTGTCGCTCAGGTCCCCTGTCCTCAGCCAGTCCCCCACCCAGTCACTGAGGTCCCCTGTCCCCAGCTAGTCCCACACCCAGTCGCTCAGGCCCCCTATCCCCAGACAGTCCCCCCACCCATTCACTCAGGTCCCCTGCCCACCTTGTCCCTGGCACTGAGAAGTGTCACTTCTGGAGCCCTTTCCTGGTTCTCCCAGGGCAGTTGGTGGCTCTGTCTTTGATACCTTTGTGGCACTGTTGACTCATTGCTGTTGTGACACCAACCATCGTCCACTGTGAGCATCTGTCTCTACCAGTGTCTCCCTGGCACACAGAGTCCCTGAAGCACCACATCACCCTCTCCCAAGACCCCATAGCACAGACAGCAGCACTGTGCCCATCCAGGCCTGTGCCCAAGGGACCAGTGTGGGCAGGAAGACCCTGGCATGAGCACACAGAGGCTCCTGACTAGCACCCTGCCAGGCTCCAACCAGAATGTGACTTTGATGGGTGGCCCTCTCTCTGCAGGAGGCCCTGCTGCAGTTCTGGCCAGTGTTGCTGACACACCCCTGTGGCCCTCCCACCTGTGTCACTGGGCACAGGACACTTCTTACTAGATTGCTCACTTGTTTCTGGAACTGCCTGGTCCCTTCAGTGGAAAGGACGCTGCACTCTGTCTCAGGATGGTGGGGAGAGCTGGGAAGTCGGCCACACCTGCCCCAGGGCTGCTGTGCCACCTGCAGCATGAAGCAGGGTGGCCATGGTGACCACAATAAGTCTGCAGGACACTCACATAGTGATGGGAACCTGAAGGCCTCTGAGTAGGGCAGGAAGGGCTACCATTTTCTGGTACAGAAATGAAAAGTGTACGTGGAAAAGTAAATATCCAAGTGCCTGAGGGACAGGTTTAAGATCACGTAATTGTTCTGGAAACACATTCTTGAGTAGCCCTCTGTCAGAGCCTTCTGGCCCCTGCCTGAGCCCAGCTCTCAGCAGGTGTCCTGACGATGGTGTCCTGGTGCTGTCAGCAGTTCTGTAATTCATTTCTGAATTATTTGCCATTAGGAGACAGGCTTTGTTGTGTTCACTGCGGGGCCAAGGTCAGTTTGAAGCTTATGGAGCTGCAGGTTCCCCACTGGCTCTGTCAGATGTTGAGCCTTGGGAGACAGCATGGGGGGTGAGGCACACGGTTGTGCACCCCAAGTTAGGAACGTGCCTGGATGTCTTCCTGGAAGAGAGGAGTCCCAGGCCTGGTCATCCCCAAGTGCCCTCCACAGACTGCAAAGAAACAAAGATGCCCAAGCTGAGAGGTCGCCATCTGTAAGTAAAACTGGACATCTGACAAGAAGAACTTGGACCTGGAAAAGAAGCTGAAGAAGGAGGAGAAGTCTCATTCATGATCACCTGTGGAGACAGGGACTGGGTGAATTGACACGGAGAAGGA